AGAAGTCTCAAAGATGAGAAAGGAAGTCAAAGCAGTTTTAGGGACTAAATTGCAAAGTGAAAGTTTTAAGGGGCTAAAGTGTAATAAAAGTTAGAGGCTCCAGTAAAGTCTTGAAGGCCCAGAGAGAGAAAAGAGGCTAGATACAGGCCAAAGGTTAAGATAGAAACCTCAAAGAGAGGATTCTATGAAATTAAGTACAAGTAGGGACTAAACCGTAAATTCAGAAAGTTATGACCAACAGAGGTAAAAATGGAAGAGTATATAGAGAATTCCAAAAAAATCCCAAAAAAATGGGAAATAATATTCTAAGGCTCTTTTGTGAAGAGAAAAGACGTAAATACCCTTGTGGTAGCTTAAATAGAATTTATAAGGTTATGGCCTGTAAAAAGTATACTATTTGAGGTAATTATTTGAAATAGTAAGAGACCTCAAAAATGTATAAAAAAAATGAGATTAAATGATTAAAAGGTTGTACTAATTTATAAAATTAGTCTCACAACCAAAAGATCAGCGAAGTGGCTTTAATAAATAAAAATCCGGTTATACAGATAAAAGGGTATTTTAGTAAATGAATTTTTATGCAAGGCTTAAAGGAAGTGTTATGGCCTAAGAAAATTTATAGATATTCTCTAGAATTAAAAAGAATTTATGGAGTAGATAGAAAAATTTTTTGAGCTCTGGAAGGCCATAAAGGAAGTCAGAGAAACGTGGGCCAAGTAAAATAAGAGGAAACTTAGGGAACAAGTTTTGATCCAATAGTTAGGATCTAATATCCCTTCTCCCCCACCATATTTGTGACACTTGGCATCTTCTAGACGAATGAGGTAAGGATGATGCAAGAAGATGATGCAATGATGATGTAAAAGTCAACTTAAAGTTTCAAGATTGCCCTTACTCTTTCTATTAGCCACCAAGGGCATTTTGGTCCATTCAAGCCAAAGTTTTGGTTATAAATACCCCACCTTGAAAGAGCATTTTGGCAGCCATTTGTAGAGGAAAAACTTTGCCAAAATTTAGAGACAAAAACGTAGGAGTCAAGGCCAAGAAGAAGGAACAAGATTCAAGCTTCAAGATCAAGGTATGTGATGGTTATAGCATCTACCTTGATGCCTATTTCGAATAAGTTACTCTCTGTATCTGATTCTAAAATTTTGCATGATTAAAGTACACTCTGAAGCTTTAAATCCATGGGTAGAACACTTTATTTGGATATGAGTACGATTTATGGTGATTTTTCAAAGTTAGAGTTTGGAATCTAGAAACAGTGTGTTTAACCTTTGGATGGGTGTTGGATTCCGTACAATTCCAGTACTGTTCAGCATAGAATTGGTTCCTAAAACTATTTTTCCTTTAAAGAGAACTTAAGGAGCTTTTAGTGAGACTTGGAACCACTCAGTTTTGATTTTTCTAGAATTAATTATGAAGTTTCAAAGTTAAGCAAAAATTTTGGAATTTCTGCATGAATAATACCCGCGAAGCAAAATTTTTAGATTTGATCTTCTTGAATCTAAGGCCATCTAAAGTGGTCCTAATTGACAAGAAATGGATCTTAAGGATGGGAAATGATGAGATTTATGTTAGAAAAACTAGAAAAAAAAACCCTAAAAGCAAGAGAAAGGATTGAGGTTCAAGAGAGCTTGTCTTGAACATTATATAGTCTCTTGGTCCTAATAGATTGTGTGATCATTATGACTATGTTTAGGACCTTTGGAACATCCAAGAGGATGTTTGGTGATGTTAACCGAATGCCCACATAGTTGGAAAGTCAAGAGAGTCAAAGGAAAAGTAAGAGGAAAGCTTGAGGTGCAAGGTAGTGAACTTACCTATTATCATTGCTTGATGTTGTACGCTTGTGTGTTGCTGTGTACATGTTATTTAAATGTTATTGTGACATGTTTTAGCTGCTGTAATTGCTATTCATGATGAGCAGATTATGTCTCCATGGCCATGTATCAAGAAGTTAGCTTTGAGCATGCTAATATGTCACTAATTAGCAAGAGAATAAACAAATTGCGTGTAGTGCATTAGCATCCATCTAGCATGATTAATATAGTATTGTTTGCTACTGAGATTCCCCCGAATCTCACCCCTCCCTAACCAACCATTTAGGTCAATCAATGATTGGCAATAATGGCATGAGAAGCAAGGAGAAGAAAGTGGAGAATTGTTCATGTTAATGAATGATATTATTATTCAATATGTAATTCTCCTACGATGTAAGTCATGTTATGTATGCCAAAGAAATAAAAAGAATTAAAGTAAAGAGATGTTAAGGGATAAAACGTAGGTCTTGGAGCAGTGAGTTTGTAGCTTTAGTTTGACCTATCAAACGAATGAGTTAAGTCACGAGATTTGGCAGACTCATAGTACATATCCCAAGCTTTAAAATGAGAGGTAGATCACCTCAATTGGATGTGTACACAAGTAAATACGAATTTCTAAATTTGAAGCACAGAATCTGGAAGTTCCAGATTTTATCAAATGAACAGTAATATTTATTGATTAAATTGTACGAATTGGGTAAGGATAAGTCTAATTGGATATTTTTCCCTTAAAGAGTATCAAAATATTTTTCCATAGAATTTTAAAACACCTCAATACGATTTTTATAGATTTAGTTATGAATTTTTGAAGCTAGACATGTAACTTGGAAGTTAAACAGTAAATAGTAACCCGAGTAATTATGTTGAAATTTTAAATCCACAGGCTTGTGTCGTGATCTATTTGAATCATAACGCTCACGAATGCGTACTCTGAGGGGTTAAAGATAGGACATTTCAAATTGCATATTTCAATGAACAACAAACAAAAATTACCTAGCATCAATAAACAAGGAGCAACCCTTTGACAACATGTTTCCAACCATGTACTGTTATAAGTTTCTATAACCCAAATCTTCCCAACTGTAATGATGCAAGACAAAAAAAACTCAAATCTTCCTCCACGAGAGTATATTGAAAACAAACTAATAAAGTAGCCTAATTAACATCACAATTTAATCTATCATTCCAATGAAAATCACTTGTTGATGTGTGCATCATATGGAACAAAGCAATAGAGCAAATATATTTTCAATCAGACAAAGATGACTAAAAAGAAAGATAAGAAATAGAAGAATAGAAAGACTGCATTTGTTATGATTAAAAATTGAAAATACCAACTTGTTAATCTTGGAAATCAGATATGTTGTTTTTTTAATCAAATATTTATGGCTCTCCTTAATTAATAATGACATCTTAGTGAAGCTGGATACAAAAAATAAAGCATATCTTATTAACATCAAGAACAAATGCTAATCGAGAAACCATAAAAAAGGAAGAAGAAGATATTTGGCAATTATCCATTCTAATATTTCAAACACTTGAAAAACAAATATTAAAATTAGTAGTTACCTGGCAAAATGAGAGGGCATAAAAAGGTATGTAAATATTCTATAAAGATTGATCAGAAAGCAATCCAGAATTGGAAATTTGATCAATTGATTCAATTCTAAGAAGGAAGGAATTGAAGGGGTGAGAGAGATGTAGGAGGGTTTCTGAAATCCTTAGATCTAATCTTTCTCATGAAGAAAGAATTAATGGGATGTTCTGTTTTTGTTTGGCCCTAACAAACTCAATTGTTCTATTTAATTTTTGTGACATTTACTAATCAGTAATTTATAACCACAAGTTTATGAATAGAAAGAAAATATAAGGAGTTGAGATTGCATATTTAAATGAACAAGAAGAAAAAATTACCTAGCACCAATGAACAAGAAGCAACCCTTTGACAACATGTTTCCAAACATGTACTCAGAATTAAAAGGACAACGCAAGAAAGACATCTGGCCTTCAATAATGTAAGAATTCCAACATCCTCACCCCCATCTTGGGCCCCCTTTGGGGGCAATCCTCAAATCTTTCACCTCTCACACATACCATATCCTAACACCTTCTCCCTACATAACATATAATTTCTACAGCCACCATGTACAACCACAACCACACTTATGCTAGCTCCTAAATATATAGTGCTGGTTTGGAGTTAAAGCATCCACCCTATCTAGATGACGAGAAAATCTTATCTATACTTTTCTACTAATGTTATTGACATTGACAATAAGAACGTGAAACTTCTAGAAAAGAAGTAGAAGTAGATTATCCTGGGTAATACACATGAAAGAACTAGTTGGGAACGAGTGGGTGCCTCGGTGGTATTACATACGGAAGCTACAACATCTGCTATAGATTTGATAATTAGAAGGAAAATGAAAAAAGAGAAAGGGATTATCCTGTGATAGTGAAACATATTAGTTTAAGAATTTAATGGTTCAAGAGAAGGAAAGAAATCAGGTCAAATTTTCATTGTCTGGTGATGATCCAACTATTAGATTGTCTGCATTACCCATTTTTGCTCTATTCAAATTATTCAACATTAGAGTGGCATGGAACAATAAGGGTTACAGTAAGCAACAAAAACAAATCCTATATACATAAATCTATTAAATGATTCATATCAAGTTCTAGATCTAAAACCCATTAAATTAATCAGACAAAAAGAGAGAGAGTAGAGGTTGAGGACTCACCGATTACGGACTGAGCATAGAGGAAGGGGAGACTAGAGAAGGCAAGTACCGAGCGGAGAGGAGACTAGAGAAGGCAAGTACCGAGCGGAGAGGAGACTGCTAAAATGAAGTAGAGAAGATAACCAGCACTGAGAAATGAGACCAGAGGATAAGGAGATGGCAAGCATAAGGCTGACACACTGACTAGTACTCCAACCCTCCAAGGGAGCTGTTGAGTGAGTAGAGAAGCCGGGAAAAGTCTCAGATTTTCCAAAATAGAAAACAAAATAAAAAAACATGTTAAAATTGTTTTGTGTTTTTTAGTTTTTAAAAACAAATAATTGTTTTTTTTGTTTTGTTTTTAAAAACAAAAAACTCTTTTCAGAAGAGGTAAACAAACAGGCCGTTAATTTCTAACAAAGGCATCAACTCAAATGGGCAATCCAGTTTTTCTTTCCTTCCTTCACAGAAGTAATGCTGGCAATCAGGACCCTCTGAAGCACCGTCCAGCGGATTTGATGTTGGTCTGAAGAGTGAAGTTCGAAGCGGTCGGCATTTTGAGTGAACAAATCTGAGCTTCACGACTAGGGACTTCTAGCAACGGGAAAAGCTCCCACTCCGAAACTACAGGTTCGATTTTTCCCCCCACAGAATTCGTGAAAATCGGAGGCTAAGCGATTATTCGTCCACCTCTATTTTTTCTTAATTGATTTTGATAACTCTGTAATACTTGCATCTTTTGCTTGTATCGGTGGTTGCCACGAATGCTATGACACGAGAGGCTATTGATTCTGTCCTATTATGCTTTTACGTGATGGGGTGTGATCTAGGCCTCTTTGATTATTATAATAGCCTGTGGTTTTCTGTTTTGATTGTTCTTTTAACGTCTTGAACTCATTTTTGAACAGTTAATCTTATGGTATGAGCTTGCTGCCCACTAATATGCTGCTAGAGTACTGAACAAGGATTAATAATTGCCGATAACTTGTGGCTTCATTGAAGCAGTATAGGAAATGAGATCAAGTTTGAATCCTATATTCCTATTTATTCAGTATAGTCGTTAATGTAGATGTAGAATTTCCTTTGGTGTTTCATTTATCATGGTTCTTCTGGCATGATTTCAAATTAAGCATAAATGTATTTAATATACTGTTGATTACTAAAAAATGGAAAAGAGAAAGGTTTTTAATTCATTCTTGAGAGAACTAGAGCTGAAAAGAACCGTTGAACCTGGCTTTGAAGTTGTTTCTTTTTTCTCACCAATCAAAACACTGTTCACAACTGTCTCTTGCTTCTAGTAACTAGTTTGTTGAACTGTAACAGACTAAAACCTGAGATCTTCCATTTCATCTGGTTTACATGGAGTTCAGACCTCGCACTTATGGTGCCTATCATTCTTCTCATGTGCTTCCTCGCTTTCCCACTGATAGCCATCCATTTGCGGCTCCATCAATTTCTGACATCCAGGTCCTTATACCTTGCTACTTTTCCCACTTTCTTGGTTTGATTAACAAACCTTAGTCTTGTTGCTCAAAATTTTACGTGACTAATATAGATCGATATTCAATTAAGCCCTTTGGATGCACACTGCCTTTTAAAGTGATTAGTTGGCTATATTTTGTTTGGTTTTAACTTGTATGATCTTGAACCAATATGTACATTTGTGATTTCATTCATCAGTTTGGTAGAGAAAATATGAAAGAAAGAAAAGAATTATGATCTATTAGCTTGGAATGTGAATTTTATTTTAAGAAAACCTTTATTCATCTCATTTAGTCCTGTTCTTCAACATATTAAGATGGATTGACAATCATGTCATATGTAATTTGAAGAATTACATTGTTTTGTATTATGTCTAATGAGTATTCAACATGTTCCAGACACAGACATGGCTCTGTCTGTACTTGTAGTCAGTATGTATGATTTAGGGTGTCATATTTAGGATTTAGAAATACTCCTCCGGTCCTTAATATAGGACCCAATTTTTGAATTGGTTTTGGTCTTAAATATAAGACCCATTTCTCATATTTATCAATTTTCTCTAAATTACCCCTATAGATACTCCCTCAACCATAATCAAGTAGAAGAGGGAGAGGAGGTATTAAGAAAGATGATTATGGTGTTTTAGGAAAAATGTGTCACTTTTCTTATAATTAACTAATTTACCTAATTTCCTTAATCTAATCAAATTAGTTAAATGGGCCTTATATTAAAGACCGGAGGAGTATGTTTGTTCTGTCTTAGGACATTCAAGCAATTATGTTATTGCTCAGCTGAAGCAATATAATAATCAAAATAGACTAAAACTTTGTAAATCTATATGACTATAATTATAGAAGTCGAGACCAAAATTGTATGGTCTTTGAGGTTGTAAAATCGAATTCATGCTTTGTCAGCATATAATTACCTAGTAATGGGCTCCGAGGGCTTGGACAAGGAAAGGAGGTGCGGAAGAGATTTTATTGTTAGCTGTATGTTCATTTTCTTTCTCCTTGTAAAGTAACTTCGTTATGTAGACTTGTTAAATTGCTTGATAATAATAATTAAGTAGGTGTACATGAGTTCTACAACAGTGGACACAATATTCTCTTTGATAAAATGGCAATCAATCTCTTTGTGTAGTCTTGTCATGTTGGACAGGGATTTTTGGCTTTGGCTAGACTGATTGCCACCACGTAATCACAAATTTATGACCTTGCCATTGTATCTGATTTGAATTTCCTTTAGGAGACCTTTAGGCCTTCCCTTCACAATATTAAGAGCCAAGGCTCTATATTTTGCTTAACTCTTATGTGAGCAGGAAGGGACAGTGTTTGCTTCTCCTAGTTATTAGATTTCCCCAAATATAAGTATATAACTGGTTATTGATATTTGATTGTTGACTAATTTGACTTGGTTTGTATCACAATACACCTCTAACATAGAAATTGATTGTAGCTTTATAAAGGATCAGATTGAAGCGGGAATCATTGGTCTCTCCTACATGCTCACAAAAGCACAAGTGACAAACATTTTAACAAAACTGCTCCCCAGAGACATATTTGAGGATCTAAGTTCTGTTAGGAATGATCAACGTCTACACACCAGCTTGAAGGGAAGTGCTGGAGTGTGTTGTTTTACTCCGTAGTAGTGGAGACACTGTTTTCTATGTGCTGGGGTTTTCTATCATTTAATTATTTTATTGTAATGGGCCTTGTATTTTGGCCCCTTTCAGAATAATTCTACTGCCACTATTATTTCATTTATCTCCACGATTTTAGGAAGATTCTAGGGAGTAGATGACTTGTAGCTAAACCCAGTTTCTGTCTATATTTACCCTAGTCATGATCGTTTAAGCTATGCTGTTCCTGCCTCTTCAGTCAGCAACAGTGAGAATTCCATTCATTGTCTCAACTCTCTCCTTGAATGAAATTCTAGGGTTCGAATGGTTTTGTTCTTGGAAAGTGACATTAGGGAGCAGAAGACTTTTCTCATTGTTAGCAAATAGCAGCGATATGACCTTTATTTATTAATTTATTTTTAAATTCTTTTGATGTTACATATCCAACAATTATGCAATTTAAAGCTTTAGGCTCAAGTTTGTTGACAAAGACAATGCACCCAAAGACCTTTATAGGAATATTTTAGTGATCATTTGAGCGGTGGCGGTATGTTTTTATAAAGAGAGGCACCGGTTGTATTGAGTGATAGCCTTAGAAGGGAGTTGAAGTGGTCATCTGTTGCCTTAAAATGGTTGCGGGACATTCATATTCATAGTAAATATAAGTGCCTTTTTTTTTTTTGGTGAGTCCATTTTATTGTCGATTGTGAATACAAGTGGCTTGATGTTTTATACTGTTATGTTATTGGAAAAGAAAGAGAGAGAGAGAGAGAGAAGGGAAAGCGAAGAGAAACAGAGAGAATAGAGGAAATTAGAGAGAAGGGGGAGAGAGTAGAAGGCAATAGATGGAAGAGAAAGAGAGTTCCATTAGGTTGATCACAATACAGCACACTTACAAATGAGAGATAAGCCTGTTTATATAGGCAAAGTCCAACTGCTAATAACTAACTATTATTCTAACTAACTCACATAATTCTGTTATTTATTTACTATAATATCATATCAATACCCCCCTTCCCAAAAGACACTTGCCCTCAAGGGTCAAGATACATAGAATCTTGCACCAAACCAGAGCCTTGAAGCATTCTGGTTAACGTTCCCTTGAACCATATCTGAATTAGAATTCTTGTAGGTAAAACTTGAATAAAGGAGACCCAACTAAGTGATAGATTTGTGGGCTTGATTGAATTGATCCACTGCAGCAACGAACTTGGGCCCTTTTCTTGAAAGATAAGGCTTGTGTAACCATTAATCAAACTTAGTGGATCTTCACAATACTTTTGCCACTTACAGAAGAGGGGAGACAGCTGGGCATTTGACTTTTCAAAATGAGCTTTTGCTTGCCACTTACAATCCATAACCTGTTCAATTTGTCTTGAAAGTTGCACATGGTCTTCACTTCTCCAAGTTATTCGATTATGCATCAAGTTTGAAGACATAGACAATCCCGAACACATTTTTGTAAAACTCGACCTTAATGGCTGGTATCCACCACACGCAAATGTGATTTCTTCGTTGCTCCGCCTGTGCGTTGCGTGCGAAAGGTCTTGTGATCCTGTAACAAAGTCGACACTTAGAGACCCATTAATAGCAGAAGTGATTTTCACGCTACCCCACATTTTCTGGTTTGTGAAGAGCATTAACAACTCCATGCGTGGCAACCATAACTCCATTCGTCGTCGTCTTCGGGCTCACCTTCGCATCTCTGGTCTTTCGTGTTACATGTGAACATGTCTGCGCTCGCTCCACGAAGTCTAGTCACGTGGTTTTGGCTGCACCATTGCTCTCGGTTTCTTGTCGAGGAACAGGAGGTTCAAGCGTTCTTTCTTTTGTTGACATCTTTATGGGTTTCTTGCACTTGTCTTCACAAACATCTTGAGGACTCTTCTGTGGTTGCCCGTTGACATCGAACGATTCTTGCATTCCAACGAATACCTCTTGGGCCTCGTTCTTCTTGCCCTTCCATTGCAAATTGAGCTCTTGCATTCTTGCAAGGCTATTGGCTTCGGGCATCGTTTGAGGCCTAAACAGACGTACTGGTTCAACATAGTCTTCTTACATTACCAAGATGTAAGCATCGACCAACCATTCTTCAAGCAATGAGAGTTTGGAGGAAATTGCGTCAAATTCAGGATTAAATCCTACCAAGGATCCTCGATGTTGAAGATGAAGCAAGTCTTTTTGTCGTATGAGTTCTTGCAGTTGCGTGGACAAGCCAAGAAGGGCCTCTTTTAATTTATTGACAGAGCCTTGTATTCCATCAACTGAATTCAATTTTTGTTCGATGTTGAGGAGACGTTGCTCCATGGAACTTGAAATTGATTGGGAATAAGGGAGAAAGAACCGAGTAGTGGGTAGGGCCGAGGAAAGACTAGCTCTGGATACCACTGTTATGTTATTGGAAAACAAAGAGAGAGAGAGAGAGAGAAGGGAAAGTGAAGAGAAACAGAGAGAATAGGGGAAATTAGAGAGAAGAGGGAGAGAGTAGAAGGCAATAGACAGAAGAGAAAGTGAGTTCCATTAGGTTGATCACAATACAACACACTTACAAATGAGAGATAAGCCTGTTTATATAGGCAAAGTCCAACTGCTAATAACTAACTATTATTCTAACTAAGTCACATAATTCTGTTATTTATTTATTGTAATATCATATCATATACCTTCAGATGCAAGGTAATTTTCTAGAGATGAATTAACACATTCTTTGCCATTGTCACTCTTAATTTTTTTTAATGTTATTTTGAAACAGATTTTTGACTAGTTGATAAAATTTTTTTTTTTTAATTTGGAGGGTGCGTCACATTTTCCTTTAAGAAGGAACAACCACCTGACTCTTGTATGATCATCTACAAGGTTAAAAACATCTTACACCTGGTTATGCCTCTAACCCTTGATGGTCTCCCCACATGACTATGAATAAGATTAAGTCTTCCAATTTCCAGATTCTGTCCAAATACCAACATAAGGTGTAATGGAAATGCATATCTTGGCAAATCATCTATTCATCCTTTGAATCTTTTTTGCCCGATAATAAAGTCTTGATGTATGCAATAGATGACATCCCTGGGAGGCAACAAAGAACAGAAAAGAAGAAGAAATAAACCAACAGTAAAATACTTATGGGAGCAGCCATCCATTTGATTGCTTTTTTAAGTAAGAAAAAAGAGATACTAAAAACAGACCGTGATGGGGCCAGAGTTGGGAAACTTAAATCAACTACACATTAATAGCATTTTCTTTTCATTTATGTATTGTGGGAAAGGATGGAGATAGCAAAAATGAATATATATATATATATATATATAGAATTGGTACGTGTGAATAATTCAAATTGTATTCATCTTGTGTAATGTATAGTGAATATATAGAGAAGAGGTGAATTAGGAAAGATTACATGAGATATCAAAGAGTGATCTAGGAAAAATTTGAATTAAATCTAATCCCCTATAATCTGTCTAATATTTCGGAAGTAATAATTATTTACATATTAATTGGATCATAGGTGCTAATTATGTTTGACTTGCTTGTGAAGTTCTCGAACAAATCTTCAAGAAACCTTGGTGAGATTGCCTGCAAGTTGTTGCCTTGAGGTTACATAGGACAAACATACAATTCCATCTTCCACTTTTTTCTCTAATAAAGTGTCAATCAACCTCAACATGTTTGGTTCTGTTGTGTTGTACTGGGTTCAGAGCCATGTTTAGAGCTTCTTTGTTGTCACAAAAGAGTTTCATTGGCTCATTGATATGAACTTGAGCCTCTTCTGCTACTCTTTTCAACCAGAGACTCCATAATACCTTGAGCCAAAGCTCTCAATTCTGATTCTGCACTACTTTTAGATATGACCACCTGTTTTTTACTTTGCTATGTCACCAGATTACCCCACACTAAGGTACAATAGCTAGATGTTGATCTGCTTTCCTCTTGAGCACTTGCCAACTTTGCATCAGTGTAAATTTCTACTGTCCTAGAGTCACACTTCTTGAAGAAAAGTCTTCTTCCTGGTGTCCCTTTCAGGTACCTTAGAATTCTATAGGCTGCATCCATGTGTTTCTTACTAGGTGAGTGCATATGTTGACTTGCCACACTCACTACAAAGGCAATATTGGGCCTTGTGTGTGACAAATAGATCAATTTTCCAATTAGTCTTTGGTACCTCCTAGTGTCTACTAGTTCTTCATTTTTCTGTCGTTCTTTTCTTTTTTTGCTTCTTCCTTGGTGGTTGCTTTCTTCTTACTTCGTTTAATGCTACTCTTCTTCACACTGATTGGAGTTTTAATTGGCTTGCAACCAGGCATGCCAGTCTCTTTAAGCAAATCAAGAACATACTTTCATTGAGATATATAAATCCCTTTTTTTGATCATGCAACCTCCATTCCAAGGAGGTACTTTACTTTTCCTAGGTCTTTGACCTCAAACTCTTGACCCTAGGCTATCTTTATTCTGTTTATCTCATTTACATCATCACCTATAAGAATAATGCTGTTCACATAGACAATAAGGATTGCCTTTAGTGCTCCATTCTTCTTGAGAAACATTGTATGATTTGATAAATTTTGCTTATAACCTTTATCCTTTAGAACTTTGGAGAATCTATCAAACTATGCCTGAGGTGACTGCTTTAAGCCATATGAGGATTTTTTCAACTTACACACTTGGTTTTGCCTTCCTTTATCAAAACCAGGAGGAAGCGTCATGAAGACTTTTTCTTTCAACTCACTGTTAAGAAATGCATTTTTAATGTCCTGCTGTTGTGGCGGCCAATCTAAAGTCACTGTAATTGGCAGCAAAATCCTAATTGTATTTAATTTTGCTACTGGAGCAAATGTCTCATTGTAGTCTGGCCTATAGGTCTAAGTGAAACCTTTGGCGACTAACTGTGCATTAAACTTGTAGAGTGTGCCATCAACATTATATTTTGGAGTAAAGAGCCACTTGCATCCTACTGTTTTCTTCCCTTTTGATAGATCAACAACTTACTATGTTCCATTTTTCTCCACTGCCATCATTTCTTCTATTATTGCCTTCTTCTACTTAGGATGCTCTAGTGCCTCATACATTGTCAGGTATTTTGATTTTATCAAGATCAGTAACAAAAGCACCATAATCAAGAGATTATGATACATATTTTGGGATAGGATGTGTGGTATAGGAGCGGGTCTTCTTCCTTAAAGCAATGGGTAAATCTTCTTCGTTGACTTCCCTAGCAGGTTCAGAATCCCTCATTTGGTCTGGCTCTGGTAGGGCTTTGTGCATGTTGAGTTCTATAGTCTCTTTATCTCATTGTGAATACACCTTGTGATATTTATTGTTGGTCTTTTCTCCCCTGTCTTTGGCACTTGCGCAACGATGGGTAGAATAGGAGCAGGAGAAGGCTTGATGGGCTCAACGAGCGGAACATACTCAATATTAGCAGGCTCTACTCAGCATACAATTAATTTAATGAGTTGCGGTAAGAATTGCATCCCCTCAAACGTATTTAGGCACATTACATGTAAAAAGAAGTACTCTAGCAACCTCAAGAAGATGCCTATTTTTTTGTTTGGCATTACCGTTTTGTTGTGGACTGCGAGGGCAAGAGCTATTGTGAACAATGTTGTCTGGCTTTAGAAAGGTTTCAAGCTTAAAATACCATGTGCCATTGTCGACGTATAAGACCTGAATGGTGGTGGTGAATAGAGTTTTAACAAGATTAAAGAATTCCATAAAGATAGTAGGAACAATGGATTTTCCTTTAAGCAAGTAAACCTAAGACATTCGTGTGAATAAAAGTTACAAACCGCTTGGTGTGGGTACGATTAGGAACACGAGACGAACCCCAAACCTCACTATGAATTATAGAGAATGGACCAGTTGGTTTGTAATGTGACGGCGGAAAATGTGTACACGTGTTTGGCAAGTTTGCCAAAATCATAATGAAGAACTGATGAGGAAACAGATGTTGCAAATAGGAAAAACTAAGATGACCAATCCTTTTATGCCCCCAATAAATTTCATTATTTTCAGAGGTAGAGACGACCATTTATTGGCAAACACAAGGTAGTCATGGTAGAGACATTGAGATAATAGAGTCCGTCATGCTCCCTAGCTATGCCAACCATCTTCCCCAATGAGAGATCTTGAAAAATATAGTAAGTGGGAAAGAAGTAAGCACTACAATTTGCATGTTTAGTTAACTTGCTAATAGAGAGAAGGTTACAGGCCAGATGACGGACATGTAAGACAGAGTTAAGATGAAAGGAATCTGAAATATTAACCGAGCCTCTCCTAGCAATGGCAGGAGTAGTTCCATTAGTAGTGGTTATTTTTTCATTACTAGCACAGTGAAAATAAGTAACAAACATTTGAGTATTTGAGGTCATATGATCAGTAGCACTAGTGTCAATAATCCATTCATTGGACGGGAACGAGATATGAAGTGCAAATAGTGTAGTACCTACATTAGCTAGGAAGGCAGAGGCAATAGGTGGTTGTTGCTACGTTTGAAGGCCTTTGAGAGCAGTAAGCAACTGATGCAGTTGCTTGTGTGACAAATTTGGTAGTGATTCAGAAGACTGGGAAGGGTCTTGTGACACCTGATAGCCATGGGGCTTACCCCTATGAGGTTTCTAATTAGCTGGCTTCTCGTGGATGTCCCAACAAAGGTCACGGGTGTGACCAAGCTTTTTGCAATGATCGTAAGTGACTTTGACTTTAGTGGAAGATGAGGAGGCTGTACCTTTACTGACAAGTGCAAAGGACTCAGAGAGAGGACTTGGAGGCAGAGGAAGATGGAGTGTGCAACATAACCTATCGGCGAGAAGCTTCATGTTAGACTTTTGAAAAAGCCTCATGAGTGCTGATTCATGATGAACGACTAAGAATATGACGTTGGATATCATCAAACTTAGGATTTAAACCAACAAGTTCAACATTTTGCCTATACCAAGCAACGGTAGTGGGGGAAGACTACTCCCCCTCTATAATCATATGTAGTTCCTGCCACAAACCAACAAGTTCCAACCAGTATTCAGTAACAGTTTAGTTTCCTTGTTTGACATTTCAGATTCTCATTTTGATGTCATAGAGTCAAGCTAAGTCCTCGCCATCAGAGTAGGAATCACATATGGCATCCCAGATATCTTTAGCCGTTGGCAGATACATAAAACTACGCTTGAGGGGTGGGGATATAGCATTGATTAACCACTATGAGACTAGACAGTTGTCTTCGAGCCATCATTGCATCTCTGAAGTCTTGGTATCACTAGGTGCTTTCGACTCACCCGTGAGTAACCCAAGCTTGCTGTGACCTCTAATAGCTAGTCGAGTAGCTTGGGCACACTTCCTCTAATTGCTCCTTGTGAGCTTTTCTGAAATGATGGCGACGAAGGAGCCATCGAGACTAGCAGTTGACTCGAAGGGACTGCTGATCAGACCAGTCCACCAAAAGGTTCCATCATGGTCGGACTTCTTATGGGGCTCGACCCAACTAGTGCCTCCTCCGATGTGGAGGAGGAAGAAGAGGATTTGGCCGGACTTGATGGGGGACATGCATCCACCAACTCTAATATCATATAGAATTGGTATGTGTGAATAATAAAAATTGTATTCATCTTGTGTACTGTACAATGAATATATAAAGAAGAGGTGAATCAAGAAAGATTACATGAGATATCAAAGAGTGATTCTAGGAATAATCTGAATTAAATCTAATCCCTATAATCTGCCTAATATTTCAGGAATAATAGTTATTTACATATTAACCACAATATATATATGCACACACAAGTGTAAAAAAAAAAAAAAAAAATCTTGTCACAGTTCATATATTAGACAGGTCATAAACATAGTCTTATTCATGGTGTGTGTTTTATTAAATTGTTTACAAGTTATATTTGTACTTTGTTCTCTCCTTTTGACTCTTCTTGGCATGCCCATCATCGACCCTTGCATCATATTTTGCAAGTTGGTACACAAAGTTTGTGCGTGCTAGCTTCTTTTCTTGTTTCCCAGTCTGTTTAACAGTTTAGTTTGATAAGGTTCTATCTATTTCGCATTAGTTTCCTTGCTATTTTCTTGCTTTCGTCCTGAGTTTTGTATGTGTACTTCTACTTTAGATAGGTTATTGTTACTCTTTTTTGAACTTCGAAGTTATTTTCCTTTTTCAAATTTTTTGAAATTTTTAAAATTTCCTTTTGAATTATTATATTCAATAAAAAACATATCTTGATATTTCTTTGGGCTTTTGAATCATACATTTGTGGCAATCTTTAAATTTTTTGTTAATATTCTCATATTAGGTTGATACAGTTGACCTTGGTAACCATGAATTTCTTGATCCACTGAGACGATTGGATGGAGATGCAAAGGCTACTCCATTTGATCATGAAATGCCGAGTGAAGCTGCTATTCATCCACCAATGAAGGAGTGGAGCTCTTTTAGAAGATTACTACAGCAAAGGTTCCCAGTTTCCAAAATGGTCTCTCTTTCTTCTGTAAGTTTTAGGGCCTTAATTTTGTGTTAATTCCAAACATGATGTTGTAGTGCCTAATGGCAAGTCATAAAGCAAAGTGTTAATAACAATCTAACAATTGCTACATGTAAATGTAAACGTAATATTTGGTAACCAAAAAAAAAAATAAAATTTCCGAATCTAAATATGAATACAAATTTTCAATAACAATAAAATAAGATAGATTTAGAAAAGATAAATTTCCAATGGGCCAAAAAAATTTGTAAAGTAAATCATATACTTGATTATATATATTGCTTACGTGTATACTTCGATTTTATGTTATGATATGTATTGTTTATTATTTTCTTAAATAAATATTTGCCCTAGGTGGTTCAAAGTGCTAACCTGCCATGGGGTGTGACAACATAACTACTATTAGGATTACCAGCAACCCTACTCACCATATTATAATGAACCATGTGGAGATTGATAGTCATTCATATAAAAAGAAAAGAGAGAAATAGACTCAAGCGATGTTGATCTGATGCTTATACCTACTAGTTGACAAATTGTAGATTTATTCCCTAGAGCTCTCTCCCAAGGACTAGGTTTGAACATTGGAGCAACAAGCTGCTGGGAATGCTAGACATTCGCTAGCTTGAGGGGAATGTAAGCAAGATAACATTGCTAATCTTGCTGAGTGTGCGCATCTGTGACTATGACTTGTATCATGCTAGTAAAGAGAATTATTACATCTAATTTTCTTAATTCATGGCTGTAGAATTCTTATGATTTTGAACTGTTTATTCGAATGGAATGAATGGGAAATAAATAGATGCAGCATCCTCAAGTAGATGAGGCTTATGGGCCAAGATCTTAGGGATTTGGCCGGGAAACTAGGACTTTGAAAAAAGATACAGAATCAACTTAAAAGCTAAGAAATCAGAATCTGAAACATATATTCCTAAATCATAGACTAATTCAAATATATAAATTCAACTAAAGGCTGATTTGGGTTAGGTTGTTTTAGGCCCATGGCCCCAAAACTTCAGCCTTCAACAATGGCTTTTAAAGTAGCCTTGAAGAACCTTTTATATACTTTGTGTTATTGTTTCTATGTTTTACCCTGAATGTTTTAGGCCTTTGTTCGTCATAATTTTCTAATAATGTTTCCCAATAATTTCAGGTTCCTGAGGTTATGATGAGGAGCGGAAAATGTATGCAGATATCTTTTTCATTGACTTTCGTTTTGTTTTGTTCTTTCGATTTCCCAAAATCCTAATCATATGACTGACCATAATATTCCTTCATCTCTTGGTGCTCATTACATTGACATCTGATGGGACGGACAGCTTATAATGTTCACTTGTGATCGTCTCCCTAATTTTCAGCTCTTGAGAAATCCTCAAGTATGCATATGGAGGAACTAGATGATCCACAGAAATTTGCAGATGATGAGGTCAAGGTGATTGCTTGGCAGGAATATGTTTCCCGACTGCATGAGCTCAAAGATGAAATTGCTCATTCTTGGCTTGTTGATGATCGTATAACATCCTTAAAGTTATCTGTAAAAGTGAGTTTTGAATTCATTTAGTTATTTTTTCTTACTACATTGTTATGTAAGTGATCTCTAACCTTCATTGTTTTGAAGAGATGGTTCTTTATTAGTAGTTTTTTCTTTTTGCCCCCTTTACTGTGAAGCATTTCTCCTGAACCTCTGTTCTGCCCAGTGCAGTGTCTTTTATTCTGCCAGCCGGCAAACTTATAGAATGAAGGCAACATGCCTGCCTTCTATAGCTCAGTAATCTTGGGACAAATAAATTTATTTAATTCAGAAAAGACCAGAACAGACTCTACCCTATAATATTATAAGTAAAAGGAAAAAAAATTAATTAAAAAAACCTTTATAATCTGCAGTAGACACTGAAAAATAGGAAAGCCCTTAGTGGGTTAGGTTTGCACCGCAAAGCCCATGAAGATAAGGGCATCAGCACGTTGAAATGAAACAACTCTCCACACTAACTGGGGATGAAACGTCTATTCTAGTGTGAGATATTTAAGTTTTCCGACTAAGGGTTCGTACATACTTCTGTCCACTGAAGGGCTTTCCTTTTCAAGACCAAGTTTGTGATTCACATTGCTGGTTTGCAGCCCAACATTCCTTTTTCCTCCACATTCCAGCAAATTCAGAGTACATTTTCTTTGGAAGATTGAAATACCTTCCTTATTTCAAGCAACCTCCATTCCTGGGAAGCATCTCAGACTCCTTAGATCCTTTACTTCAAATTTTGAGGCTAAGAGCTTCTTTAAGCTGTGAATTCCTTCTCTATCATCACCTGTGATCACTATATTGTCCACATAAACTTTCAAAACCTTTTAGTTTCCCATTTAAAGCATGCTTCGCCAACAATGTGTCATCTGTTCAGCACTAAATAAAACTATTCCTTTTAATCACAATAATAAATCTGCAAAACCAATCACAAGGTGATTGCTTCAGGCCACACAATAGTCCGTTTAGTCTAAACACTTTGTCTGAAGCTACTTGGATTCAAAATTAGGAGGTATCTCCATATAAACTTTCTCCAATTTACCATTTAGGAGGGCATTTTTCACATCCAACTGATAAAGAGGCCAATCAAGATTACAAGAAAGCGAGATAAGTACCTTAATGGCAACAAAATTGGCCACTGAAGCAAAGGCCTCCGAGAAATCAATGCCATAGGTTTGAATAAAAGCTTTAGCAACCAACTTGGTTTTATATTTGTTGAAACTTTCATTTAGGTTATACTTGATGGTGAGAACTCATTTGCACCCAACTGTAGACTTCCCCTTGGGTAACTCTATAATTTATGAAGTATCATTCTTCTTTAAGGCTTCCATCTCCTCATGAACTGCATCTTCCCATGCACTGGAGTGCTTGATGAACATTCTTGGCTATTTGCTCAGGATGACATTGGCAACAAATGTTCATAAAGGAGTGGACATTTGATGATCAAAGTTCCTTGATGGTGGAATGTACTTTGGTTCCTCAAAAAAACATCTTGAAATCCTTCAATACTTTCATGTTCTTGTTATGTACTTGTTCTCATGTACCAACTCGCACGGATGAGTTCTTTAGTGACTACTAATGAGATCCCAAAAATCAAAATACTAGTTTTGTTTTAATTTAGGGTTAATATAATTTTTGGTCTGTGAAACTTGGGCCCATTTTGGTTTTGGTCCCTCAAATTTCAACCCCATGGTTTTAGTCTGTCTTAAAACGTCAGTCTTTAGAGGTGTAATGCTATTAAAATTTGTTGAAGTGTCGTAAACAGTGTTAAAGTCTTGGGCACATGGCTTGATCTTGCATGGGTAATAGGGGCAAAAAAAGATTAGATCGTCAAAATGCAATGCAAAGAATGATTATACAGAGGGGGATGAGTTTTCAAAATACAGCATAGTGAACAATTCCTCAAACAAATAGGTAGGAAAAAAGGAAGGGCTAAACAACTATTTTTTAAGGACTTGTTCTTTTTTTCTTTTGTTATTCAAATAAGATCCAGCTATGTGCTATTTGGTGAATCCACATCACCATTTTAATGCCGTTTATGACACTTTAGCAAATTTTAACACCGTTACACCTCCAGTGATTGTTTTAAGACAGACTAAATTCTAGGGACTAAAACCACCGGTTTGAAATTTGAGAGACCAAACCAAAATAAGCTCAAATTTTAGGCGTTAAAAATTATACTAACCCTTTAATTTATTCCTTGGTAAACACTAATGCCAAGTAATAGTATAGGTTAATGCATGAGAGAAATTAGCATATTAAATCAGATCATGGGAAATGATATGTTAGTGTTAAATTATTTGTTTGTCTGAAATTTATTGTGTTTTCTGCAGGTCGCTAAACTTCTAGTGGATACATCAATTTTGCAGTTTTATCCTACACTCTTTGTCCTTGTCACTGATATCATGGACATGCTTGGAGATCTGGTCTGGCAAAGGATAAAACAGAAGGCTAAGTTTTCCGCAGATGGAACCTTACTTGGTAGCTTACCAGGTGTTCTATCGATTTATATTTCATTGTTTTGCAAATTGTTTTTCTGATTTACGAGGCTGAATCATTCTCTTGCATATATACAACATAAGAACTAAAAAAATTACTTCAAGCAGTCCCAAAGATCTCTCCTTAATAATAATAACCGGATTACCTTTCTAATAGAATCAAAACTGAAAAACAGCTCAGCGCCCATCAATCTACAATCTTTAAAAATTTGGGATTTCTACAATCCCTCTCAAGTTTGTGATGTATTAATAATAGAAGACTAGTTAGTTATAGTTAATTATATAGTAGCCGTTAGATGTGGGTTGGGAATAACACCTATGTAAGGGATTAAAATTGTAATTAGAGACAGTTTTGAAGTGAATGTGATTTCCAGAGCATTATTCAGAAATTCTCTCCTCTCATTCTCTCTCTTCTTTCTTGTTCTTTCCTCTCTCTGTCTATATCCCTTTCTCTTGCCTTCTCCTATCCTTCTTATCTTCTTCACCACTCACCTCGGTTTGATCACATCACAGTTGTCATCATTGTCCAACTTCATAAGTAATCCTCTTAAAGTATGAATCAATAATCCTTTAATGGATTGAGCCCATTCATGACAGTTGTCTCCCACAAGCTTTTCTGGGGCAATGATGGCAGAGGAACCTTTAGTCATGGAAGTTGTAGAGGACATCGCAGTGTTGCATGAATTAGACAACGAAGACTCACGAAGACTCACCAGACAAGGAGTTCATTTTTGGGTCTGTAACATCAGATGGCGGTTGCTGCAACTCCATGTCAGAAGCAAAGTCTGAGTCTGATTCTGAACTTTGGGTCCCTCCCTCATGCTCTGATACCATGTGAGTGGAGATCCGAATTCACATCTCATTGATGTGAAGAGGATACAATATATACACAATATACATTAATCACTGTGACGCAACCTAGGCTAGATATCAGGGAAGAGAGTATTGAATCCTAGCTCCGACCATTTACACAATAAAGACTATGAAATAAGAGGAAATTAATAAAGGCATACTACTCCTAATATATTGGTTCCCACAGATATTGCTAATAAGCTTTATCACTGATTATTTATTGGTCATTATGTGTTACAATTATTTTATAGTTTATAAGTTATTATTATTACTCAAAAATAAATATAATCAAACTGAAGTGAGTTAAACTCAATTGAAACATGTTTGTTGTGTGGTTTAAATTTGATAAAAACCCCTAAAATTTCTATAAAATCAAAAAAATTTAGGTGTGAACTATTGATGCTTATATTCCATATACTAGTTGTTGCATGTTTCATGGCTCTAATGTTTTCCTGGTGGATTGTCATTTAGCAATATCAATGCCACATCCAGTACGATTGTCTATTGAATGTAATTTTCCAGCAAAGTAATGAAGTTAGTATTTATTTCTGATCTTTTCTATTGTGTTATTTTTCCCAGGCCTAATGAATTATAGAACTTATGCCTGATATTAAGTTGATTAGAGGCCACAAATTAACTGATATCTTTGTCCTGAGTCTTTATTATATTTCTCTCAGAAAACTTTAAAGCAGTTGATATTTGCTCTGATGCTAAAGAAACTTGCAATAACTGGTTTAGCAAAATTGGTGCTGTGCGAGAGCTTCTTCCACGCATGTAATTCCTGATCCTTCCTGAAGTATTTAACTTATTTACTATTCTATATTCTTTGACTTTATCCATATGTTTGAAATTATCTGACCTCTATTTCAGATAGCAATCACTTTCTCTGCTGTAAATCTTTAATTTACATACAAGAGACTGCTGTTCCTGGGAAAACTATAAACCTACGGAGTTACATAATCATCAACTAAATGCACTGTAGTCTTATTAATAGCCATGCTTCTATGCTGCACTCATGTGATACTGAACGTCATAATTGCGATCACTTAAAAATACAAAACGTCATAATCCCTTAGGAGATAGTTCTTTCAATTATAAATTGTAAATTGGACCCATGGAGGCTCAATGTATGTGGAATAATTTTTCTCGAATCTGGATGCTGAGTAAGTGCCTTGTGCAAGTTGCAATGATTTTTGTTACTGGCGTGACAATGTTATTCATTGGCATATATTTATAGTATTATAGTGTAATTATCTTTATTTATTATTAGCTCTCAATTCATTTGGGAATCCTTTAAGCAGTGCTAATACAGTAGAATATTCAAACTTTTTTTTTCTGGCTATTACTCCATAAATATTTTGTGTTAAGGCTATTTCCAAGAGACTCTTTCATATAAGTAACGGTTTTTTTTTTTTTTTTTTTGGGTTAGAAATGTTAATAGTCCATAAAGTTACATCCCTCTGATGGGGATTTATGATGACTCTTTCCCTGGAATTGTACTGTAGTTACTTGGAGCTGGCAATATTACCTTGCTGGCGTTTTCTTCTTGATGAGCCTCTGGACAGTCTGAAGCGCTTGGTAATGATGACCAGAGGGTTAGGAGATCCAGTGGCATTTGCTTACTGTCATCTATATATGGCTCACTGTGCCCAGAAGTTGCCTTCGCATGATATAGGTATAACTATAACATCAATTTAAGCTTAAGATTTATAAAATATTTGCGTCTTGAGAAACAGTTGGACCCTTTTTTTGGGTAATATGAGGTACAAAGAGAATGGTGTGAGAGCACGCGCGCACACGCATGCGCTCACATGAAGCTGTAAAGAGAATGTTTGAAGATAAATTTCTTATTTATTATAATACTCACAACCGGAATCATACTCTCTATATACAATACAATAATATAGGAGGAAATGAAACTCCTCAATATTCAGTGAACAATAATTAGGGATAGAATTTGAAATAATAAATTTGTGCTTTAATTATTAAGTGATACTTAATTTCAATCAGAATCCCTGCTTCTTGTCATAGATTAGACAATAAAGGTGAGTAAATATATTAATGAGTTGAATTTCGATAGGATTAGAGGCCATTTGTTTAAGCTTAAAAATCAAATGGTTTTCATATTGTTTTAGAGATTTTATTCAAAGTAGTTAATGGTGTAAAGATTTTATAAAAAGCATAACTTGTTTTGCATTTGATTACAATAATAAAAAATAGATATTATTTAGTATTTTCAAACTTTATGATATCTTCTCATATCTCCATTCTATAAAAATAATTTATTATTAATTGATTTTTGAATTTTATGATATTTTGTATTTCTGTATGTTTATGAACATTCGCTCTTATCTACCATGTCTAATTATTCTCAAAAGCTACATAATGTAGCTTCTTGAAATCAACAACAGTAAGAAACCTTATCCTACTAGGTGGGGTTAGCTATGCGGATCGCACAATATTGCTGTGTTCTATTAACAACCAAATCTTTAATGTATTGTTCACCAAAAGGTTTAGTTCAATATATGAGTCTTTCTTTTGGTCTTTCTCTACCTTTCTTCGCATAACTCAAAACTGTCAGTTCAACCCTGCTCACTAGTATTTTCAATGGCTTTATTTGTGTGCCATGCCAACTCTTTATTATATATAATCATTATGAATCTTATGTTTCCTTGCATGATCTCAACGTCGTCATCTTTGCTGCTCTAACTTTAGGCAAAAGTGTACATTTAATCCTCTAACTTTATACAAGATCTCAGTTTGGCATCTTTAAAGTATCTTTTCAGTCTTTTAACCCTAACACATTTAATCTTAAATGAGAAATTTTTTGTACCAATCATTGTTATATTTAAAAATTAGTCTGACTACGTTAGAATTTGAGAAAATTTCGTCAATGTTTAAAATTTTAATGATAGCATTTTTTTTGTTAATGAAACTGATGGTGTTAGGGTTAGAGGACTGAGAAAACACCTTATAAAATGAAGGACCAAAATGATCATTTTGTGAAGTTAAAAGGACCAAATATGCATTTTTGCCCTAACTTTATGTTCATATTGTCATTTTAAAAACCAACATTTACTACCATATAGCATTGTCAGTCTTATAGTGGTTTGATAAAACTGTCCTTTAAACATATTAGGTTTTTTCCCAATCACAAATAACTCTAACAGCCTTTATTCATTTTCTTTAAAAGTGATATTTCTAAAGAAAATGATTTTTTCATGAAATACGCTCAAACAAATGGGCCTTTTATCTCAAGTTACTTTGAGATTCCATAGTCTATTAAAATTGGGGAATAGATGTGATTTAGAGCAGCAAAGAAAAGGGGAGAAAAGAACATAGAGAAGCATAGATGCTGGGAGGAGGAGCAATGGAAAATGGTTGGTCTGAATTTCAAACCATCAATGTCTAAAAAAGGGGATAACTTACGCCTATTAATAGGAAACCCAAACACAATAACTTGAAATAAAATGATGCCTAATAAAGGAAATGAAGGAAATCAGATAAGAAATTAATAAAAAGATTCCCATCATTTTCGCCCCAGCTTGAAAGAAAACTCCTTTGGAGGGCTACTCTTACAAGATGGAGTCTAGATGGTGAAACTGTCAGAAGAAATTGTTTGAAAGTGAAAAATCTGTATTTTTAATACAAATTACACATGGGCGACCATCATTATAAGTTTGAAATGTAATAGGAATTATGTAATAGGAATTAATATTAAATTCTTCAATTGATTCAAGATGTGACAACCTGCACGCACCCTGTGAGTCTATGGCATTTCTTCAGACCTTCACTTGTGTTTGTGCATTTTTATATGTACATCATGCTGCATCGACTCTGGAATTCTGTCTAACACGTACATTTTCAATTGTTGAACAGGATATCTTGTTACATGTCTTAATGACCTCAGAGTTATCTTGATCCGAATCTTATCCCCAAATGGAAGCATTTATGGAGACAAAAGAAAATTGTTTGTCAGTCTGATGGAACCAACCATTGAGTATGTTATGAATTGCATATTTAAGGGGATGTCTCAGGTAATAATGATTCCTGTGGCAAGAAGAATTTGGTTAAGGTTTTCATTATTACAATAGCAATTGAACTAAAATCTATACTTTATTCAGCAAAAAGAAATGAAGAAAAACATGCGGGCATTGATTTTGTATGACTATCCTCATTTTCTCCTCTATATTGTTGTGATATCATATTTCTGTCTTGAAGATGCAAATAAATGATGTTCTCCCTGAGCTTGGGTTGAGGAAGAATCAACAGTCTTCTAGCAATGTCACTTATGTTTCAGTTGTTCTTCATCATTTATTGAAGGAACTCCCAATTGAAGTAATTTTCTCAAATACTATAGAAATCCTTCATCTCATTGAGTGTAGCGAGGATAAATCCTATGATCAGGTATAATGCATTTGCAAGGTGTATTCTAGCTGAAATGCTACTTCATTTCTTTGAATTTGTTGTTTTTTCTGGTCCTTTGGTTTTATGCAGCATATGAATTACAGATTGCTTGGATTTAGGCTGAATGAAAGGAGATGCCCATGTGACATCGCCAAAGCTGTGCTTGATAAAGTCATTCAGGTATTTGTGCATTTCTGTTGTATCTTCATCATTTAAGAGTTAGGCTGTCACTTTCTTTGAATATTATTTTATCTTCTTGGGCCCTTTGTGGAACTAAAGCTAATAATCCCCTTCCATGCATTCCGAATAACTCAAAAAAAAAAAAAAAAAAAAAAAAGAAACAGATAAAAGGGCAGAGCCTGGAAAGCAAGCTAAAATAAAGCAAATAAATAAAGAGAATAGCGCTTGTGACTTCCAACACAAACTTATCAACTTCTATCTAAATGGATATAATCTTGTGATAAATCCACAAGTTTACATGTGAGAAGAAATAATTATATAAAATAATCCCAATCTCACATGGAAGTATGAAAACACTAAATCTTAATAAATGGGTCTGATTTAGGGAGATACCATGTGAATTTGGTGTGATCTCATCTCCATGATACTAATTATGATTTCACATCAGCAAATATCCTCCGTTGCTAGATTGTGTGATATATTTACGGCTGTCTCGTCAAAGCGGAGCTTGATAGATACTTCTAAGTCAATATGTGATTTGATCTAGTGATAGCAAAATTATTTGTCTATTTATAGTAAAGAGCATTTATTGCTGAAACGGAGAATGACGATTAGATCCCAAAGATTGATTCAATGATAGTTAGGTCCTCAACAAAATTTGTGTAGTCAACCTATTTCTTCATATCCATGTCTCTCCTGTTTTAATGGTGACAGCAGGTTGTTGAGCAGTATGATAGCTTACATCAGTACCTGAAGGTTGTAGATGCCTATGCAGATCTTATTCTTCAGAATGGAATGGTAAGTTTGAATGACTAGCCGCAATCCAATACCTACTAATGCCATCAAGAAAATTGGAGAATTTTTTTTCCTTTTATATTTCTTCAGAATGAAAGAAGCAACATATATGCAAAAGATCTCAGGGAAGAAGTCTGTTGGTGGATCCCATGAATTGAGAAATCATAAATGACGTCAGAGTTGAATTATAAGTTTGAATTAAGCAATCGTAAATGAATACAGGAGATCTGGACATAAGTCTGGTCAAAGGAAATTACTGGTTTTTCTTTCTGAAAGCGGTTGGGCTTTGTGAAAATACCTTATTTTATAAACAGCAGAAGAACTCGGACATGCAGAGGGGTAGAGATATCATAAACGGAATCGCACAGTTCTCTCAAGTAATGTGAGAATAATAGAATATAATGATTCTTGGGTTCTAGGAATAGTAAACAGATAACAGTATTAATTATAGAGCTTTAAAGGATAAATTAGGGTTATTTAGCCATCAGCCCAGCCAGACATAAGCCCATTTCCAACGCTTTCATTCATTCATTCTTTCCTTTTTTTTTTTCCTGAAAAAATAAATCACCTGCTTCACAGAAGATACATTTTAATTAGACCTTGAATGAGAGAAGTCATACTTGAATTTCTAGTCATAAATGAGATCAGAGTTGATTTTCAACAAACTCTTTTGTTTTCCCCTAAATTCGGTCCTTTATGCCAGGATAATCTTCTGGAGACCATTTTAGAAGGCATATCAAGACGTGCATATAAAGGGGTTATGGAAGATGAAATGCTAAGCCTGCAGTCTCTATTGGTGAAGCTTCTTTCTCATTTCAAATGCCTGGAAGATGTATTTTTGCTGGTATTTCCTATAGTATTGGATATTTTCCATCATCTATTTATTGGTCTATTTTCTTTACTTTTTCATACAACAAATAAATCCTAAAAGGTGATTGATTTCGTTATTGTTCTTTTATAGAATCACTTTCCTAAAATCTTAGATATAACGCACGGAAACACACGGAATGTTGTCTTTATGCACATGCTTGATATGGCAACGAGGTACCTTTTGTCCTGAAATCTATGTTCTTATTCCTAATTTATCTTCTTGTAAATGTTCTGATTTTCTAGGTCCTTTCAGATGTGGTCACCTCATTGGCACTGATACCGTCTTGCATTGTGCTATCTTTGTTCAATGTAGATATAGGAATGAAAATAAGGTTCTAACACACACACACACACGCACACGTACACGCACACGCACACGCACATATTTGCAAACTTACCAAATATACCAAAGCAAAATATCCTAGGAATACATACGAACCCTCATAATCCTTCCACCTCATTCATAGTGACCTGTGGTGTACCTCTAAAATAAGAGGCAGGAATGATAGAGATAGTTCATAACACTTGTCCATAAAAATTACTCAAATTGAGTCTTTTGTCTTGTAAAGTAACAATCAACTTAAAATGCTTGGTGCTCACAAAAAACTAGATCGGAAGCAATATTCATCACTTCTTAGCTGTCACAAATCAACTCCATTTGATTACGACTTTCAACCTCAATTCTCAATGTAATTTTCTGAATAGTACGCTGTACTATTTACTGAATGAGGGTTTACATAATATATAGCGTAAAAGGAATAAACCTAATTAATGTAAATATGATCACATCCCCTAAATTCCTCCTAAAGATAAGGAAATAATGATAATGGTTAGATTTTGTCAGAATCTAACCGTTACAAGAGATACACCTATTTAATGCTAGGAGATTCTAGGAGATTGGGTTAAAACTATTAGTGGGCTTTTGGCAGCCAGCCCATTCCCACACTCCCCCTCAAGCTGGTGGATAGATATTAATCATTCCCAACTTGTTTTTAAGGCCTTCAAACATCTCGAGTTAGGGACTTTGTCTTCACACCTACAATTTGATTTCTTGTGGTTATGTGGGCAAGGTCAATTATCTTGTTGTCAATCTTTTCCTTAATGAAATGGCAATCTATCTCCATATGTTTTGTACGATCATGATGTATGGGATTATTGGTAATTTTTATTGCGGAGATGTTATCACGCCAAACCTTTATCGGTGTGTGTCCTCAATTCTTAATTCCTTAAGAAGTCTTACTAGCCATCTTCCTTCGCAAATGCCTAGGGCTAAGGCCTTATATTTTGATTCTGCTGAACTTCTTGAAACAACGAGTTGCTTTTTGCTCCTCCAAGGGACTAGGTTTCCCCATACATACGAGCAATAGCTAGTAGTAGACTGTCTATCCTTTTTCGAACTTGCCCAGTCAGCATCTGTAAAGAGCTCAACTTTTCTGGAATCTCCTTTTGCAAAAAACAGCCCTTGTCCTGGTGTTTTCTTTAGGTATCTTAGGATTCTGTAGACTGTTGTGATGTGTTCCTTTTGAGGGTTACTTGAGAACTGACTAACCACACTAACAGGGTAGTAAATATCAGGCCTTGCATGGGATAAATAGATGAATTTCCCTGCCTTTGATATCTCACCTTGTTTACTGCTTTTCCGTTTGGCTTGATTGTTAGCTTTTGATTTAGCTCCATAGGCATGTTAGCATGTTGTGCACCCAACATCCCTATTTCTCTAGGAGATCTAGTGTATATTTTTGTTGAGATACACTTATCCCTTTTTTTGTCCAAGCCACTTTCATGCCAAGGAAATACCTTAACTGACCAAGGTCCTTAATCTCAAATTTGGTTGCTAGACTTTCTTTTAGTTTTGCAATTTCATTCTCATCATTACATGTCAAAACTATATCATCAACATATACAATGAGTGCAGTTAGTTTGTCACCACAGTGTTTAATAAATATGAAGATTTATAAACTTTCCCAACTGTTTTTTTGTTTCTCATCCCTTGGGGAATTGTCATATAAACCTCTTCCTCTAAATCATCGTTAAGAAAAGAATTTTTAATATCAAGTTGGTGTAATGGCCAACTAAATTTACGATAAGAGAACATTTACAGTATTAATTTTTGCTACAGGTGCAAAGGTTTTTTGGTAATCTATTCCATAGGTTTGAGTAAATCCCCTAGCTATTAAGCTTGCCTTATATTTGTTTATACTTTCATCAGGATTATATTTCACAGTGAATAACCAATTGCTACTTATCATCGATTTACCTTTTGGCAATGTTATAATTTTCCAAGGTCCATTTTTATGTAAGGCTCTTAGTTCTTCCTCAATGGCTTGCTTCCAATTAGAGTCTGAGATGGCCTCATTGAGGCTTTTAGGAATTTTCACACTTTCTACATTGGCCACAAAAGTTTTAAGGTGAGGAGAAAGCTTACTATAAGACGTATACTTACTGATGGGGCATTGAGTGCAGCTTCTCTTTCCTTTCCTTAGAGCAATAGGCCAATGGAGGTCTTCAAGACTTTGTTCAGTAGTTGAGTCACGGTGCTGTGTGGGCTTAGTAATGGGTCTTTCTTCACTGTTTTGTTGTTCTGTGTTGGCAATTCAGTCTAATGGGCCTTGGGCCTAAAAACCCTAGATCTCAAAATCAGATTTGATCATATCTTATCTTGCTGTTTAATTTCTGTTTATTAGGAAGATTATGATTATTATGTTGATTGTATTCAGAATATTATCTATCCCTAGTATCTCGACCAGATCCTTGGAATATCGGCCTAATAACCTCTCTAGGTAAGGGACCTGTATCTATTTAAAGAGTTTCACATTATTCGAATAAAGTAATCTATTCAGAATCATAAGAATTCCTCATGGTATCAAAGCAGAGATGATCATATCCGGTATTGGATTCAACAATGAGGGGCCAACCAACCCTAGGGTTCCAAGAACTAACCCATCAGGTCTGAACGCAGTAGCAACTGGCTCCACCAGTCATCAAAATTTGATTGAGTCCAATCTGGCCTCTATCACTATTCATCGACTCAATGGAGAGAACTACATGCAATGGTCCTCTAGCATACGCCTATACATTATGGGCAAAGGAAAATATGAATATTTGATCGGAGGGATTCAGAAACCAGCTCAAGACAACAAAAAATACCCTATGTGGGAAGTTGAAAATTCCATGGTGCAAGCTTGGTTGATCAATTCCAGATCGCTAAAGAGGTGTGGGATGCAGCCAGAGATATGTTCGCTAGACTCAAAAACAAAGTAGCTATTTTGGAAATAGAAAGATTCCTTCATGATTTCAAGAAAGGTAATCTTTCTGTGATCCAATACTACATTGATTTAGTGGTTCAGTAGCAGCAATTGGATATGTATGAGACCTATGACTAGAAGTGTGCTGGTGATGCTGCACTCTACACAAAAATAAAGGAAGAAAAAAGGGTTTTTAAGTTCTTGCTTGGACTGGATGCCTGCTTTGAAGAAGTACGAGGCAGAATAATGGGTCTTGACTCCCTACCACCCCGAAGGGAAGTATTTTTCATCGTGAGAAATGAAGAAAGCAGAAAGAAACTTACTACCCAGAGTCAAAGATTGAACTTGATCAACCAAATGCATTTGCATCAAAAGGGGCAGTTCAAGATGACTCAAGGACACAAAATAAGTGGTGTGACCATTGTAGGGAAAAAGGGCATACTATGGAGACTTGTTGGAAATTACATGGCAACCCTCTGAAAAAAGGGAGACAGGATGGTTGAGGGTATTCCAGCACTATTGAGAACAATAATGAGCTAGAATTCAGTAAGGAAGAACTAGATCTGTTTCGTAGATTCTTAGAGAAACATAACTCACAAGAGACAACTGTTGTAGTTGGTTATATTGTTCATACAAGTAAAACCATATTAGTGCTAAAAATTGATAGACATCACTCAAGACTATGGATTGTGGATTTAAGGGCAACCAACCATATGACCGGAAACAAAGAACTCGTGACTAACATAAGACCATGCCCTATGAATATCCTAGTAAAAGTAGCTAATGGTAAAGCCTTGAGAGTTGAAGGCCTCGGCACAGCCTTTATAACTCCTGAGATAGTGTTACATAATGTCTTCTATACACCTGGCTTAAAATGCAGTTTATTGTCTGTTATAACTATGACCCAAAATCAAAATTGTGATATTCACTTCTCTGCGGTTAAATGTGTTTTTCAGGACCCGAAGAAAGGGAAGACAATTGGCACAGCTGAGATCCTTGAAGACCTCTACTGTTTGGAAGTTCAAGAGCATCATCAATCCAGGGCAAATCATGTGAAGTTACCTTCTGTTTTTTCTGCTACTTCAAAGAATAAAGAAGTGTTGTTATTGCACTATAGGCTAGGCATCCTGATTTCCGATACATGTCAAAAATGTTTCCACATCTTTTGAATAAGAGTGATCTCTTTCTTACCTGCAAGGTGTGCCAATTTTCAAAACAAACTAAAGCCACCTACAAACCACACTCACATGAATACTCAAAACCATTTAATCTAATTCATAGTGACATTTGGAGACCATCTCGGATTCCTTCCCTCACTCATGCTAAATGGTTTGTTAGTTTCATCGATGATCACACACACCTAACCTAGGTATTTCTCATGAAAGACAAATCTGACCTACCTGAAATTTTCATAAAATTCCATAGAATGATTTCCACCCAATTTCAAACCCAAATCCTCACCCTCCACGGTGACAATAGCCACGGATACATGAGCCATACATTTCAACAATGCCTTGGCAACCATGGGATAGTTTACCAAACCAATTGTGTTGACACACTTCAACAAAATGGGACTGCTGAGCGGAAAAATAGACACATGCTAGAAGTTACCCGTTCATTCATGATCACCCATAATGTTCCTAAGCAATATTAGGGAGAAGTTATTCTTATTGCCGTACACTTGATCATAGACTACCTTCCAAAACTCTAAACTTTCAAACCCAAATTAGTCTTCTCACCAAATCCTACCCTGCAAATTCACTAACATATGATCTTCCCTTTCAGGTTTTTGGGTGTACTGTGTATATTTACCATAGGCAAGGGGGCAAACTTGATCCTAAAGCTCTCAAATGCATCTTTCTAGGCTACTCCTCCACCCAAAAAGGGTACAGGTGCTATTCACCAATTCTATCGAAATTTTTTGTTACA